GCGTTTCACACGTACTTGCCCCGTGGTCGTCATTGCCTGTTGTGTGGGGTGGGGTGGGGTGGGGTGGGATAATAACGTCATGTCTTGATGCTACGCTCTTGATGCTACGCTCTTGACGTCTTCAAGTCACTTCTCAGACGCTCTTGATGCTACGCTCTTCACGTCTTCAAGTCACTTCTAAGACGCTCTTGATGCTACGCTCGTCACGTCTTCAAGTCACTTCTTAGACGCTCTTGATGCTACGCTCGTCACGTCTTCAAGTCACTTCTTAGACGCTCTTGATGCTACGCTCTTGACGTCTTCAAGTCACTTCTTAGACGCTCTTGATGCTACGCTCGTCACGTCTTCAAGTCACTTCTTAGACGCTCTTGATGCTACGCTCGTCACGTCTTCAAGTCACTTCTTAGACGCTCTTGATGCTACGCTCTTCACGTCTTCAAGTCACTTCTTAGACGCTCTTGATGCTACGCTCTTCACGTCTTCAAGTCACTTCTAAGACGCTCTTGATGCTACGCTCGTCACGTCTTCAAGTCACTTCTAAGACGCTCTTGATGCTACGCTCGTCACGTCTTCAAGTCACTTCTTAGACGCTCTTGATGCTACGCTCGTCACGTCTTCAAGTCACTTCTTAGACGCTCTTGATGCTACGCTCTTGACGTCTTCAAGTCACTTCTTAGACGCTCTTGATGCTACGCTCTTCACGTCTTCAAGTCACTTCTTAGACGCTCTTGATGCTACGCTCTTGACGTCTTCAAGTCACTTCTTAGACGCTCTTGATGCTACGCTCGTCACGTCTTCAAGTCACTTCTTAGACGCTCTTGATGCTACGCTCGTCACGTCTTCAAGTCACTTGATGCTACTTCTTACTTCTCTTACTTCTTATATGCTTAGTGAATACATATCGTCTCATGCTAGTTTAGTTTTAAATCTCATGGGTTCTATATTGATCAGTTTGATTCTGTTAATGCTGTTTTTTTCAGATCTGAGGTCTGGTGCTCAGAGTTTGTCACGATTTCCTTGGCATGCAAGTGGGGTTTGGTGGAGGTGATGGATGCATGAGCATTTTGATATAGTAATAAAGTATGGTGGATATGTGACTTAATAAATAGCCAAGAAAATACTGTTAAGCAGCTGATATCAAGTGGGTCCGTTGGAATTAGCATACTCATATAGTTCCTACAGTTCATCTCATGGTTGTGTCCGTTATGATTTTGCATTTCGTTTGAACTTTGATGATGATATTTAACTGCATTCTGTGTGATCGTGACCCCGCCTTTGTTTGGCAGCCGTTCGGTGCAATGACTTTTGACGACAATCATCTTCGTGTGTTACTGCATGGCACGACGCTCTTGGTCATTCTTCGCTTGTTGGCTATCAAAGAGCCACCGCTGTTGAGTTCCTGGCACGATGTTACTTCGATAGATCTTGGCTATATTCACGAGGACTGTGGTTTGTTTTATTTTGAGCCTTCTTTGTGTCACTGATAGCCAATTGGTTGTTGAAACTCCATCTTTCCTTCCGTCTGCATTCTGTTAACACATGTTAGACCCACGCAGGTACTGTGTGGTGCTCTGGCTGGTGATGCAGCTCATGAAATGATTGCTCAGGTGATGCTGACGCACGATGCATTTCTATTTCAGAGTTTGTTTCGAGCACACCGAGTCCTGTGTGATATGTGGGATCGATGGTTTGCCAAAGCACGTGTTATGCCCCCAGTCGTCATCGCAACTTTGGAACGCTTTCGACAACGTGAAAGTCCGCAGCAAGACGTCGGATTGCCTCAGGAAGTTTATCATGCACTTGATATGGTGTCTGCTGCACAGCGAAGCCCGGCTCTTCAGACCAATGTCCAAGAGTGTTCCTTAGTAGATCTGGAACGATTTCAACCCAGTCTTTGGAGAATGGCTGCGGCGGGACAGGCCTCCGAGTGGAAACCGCCGGGGAGTCATTCCAGATCTCTCTGGGGTGCTGGTGTGCTGCGTCCGCAGGCTGGCGTTGAAATTGATATGCCGCTCCCGGACATTGGCCAGACTGAATTTGACATGGTCTTGATGTTTTGGAACATGTGGCAACATGTTTCTCGTTTATAGATTAGAGTTTGAACGCAGCTATTGGCAATAGGACAAGTTTGTTCTCATTCCTTGTGTTTCTTTTACTCTGTGTCTGACTTGCATGCTCAGGAGCAAGAAGATCTGCAAATGGGAATGGATGCTGGCGTCTCCTCAAGTTTGCCGTCGTGGTGCGTTGAATTTTTCCAATCTTTTGATTGGGACAGAGACAGACTAATGACTATGCTGACTAGTTTGCCTTGCAAGCGCTCGCTGGATGTTCCTGATGGGCAGCTTCGCCATCCTGATTTCATTTTTTGCTCGCTTTGCGCTCCAGAGACTGACAATGCTGATGATGTTTCTGAAGAGTGCTGTATGCTTCCAGACTTCGCTGCATCCTCTTCCTCTCGTCCGAGATCTTTGCGGGAGACGAAGTATGGACGGTGCGCAAGCTGTCAGTTGGCACGACAGCCATGGATCTTTCGCACGGGAAAGCACGCTGGTCAAGCTGCTTTGGTGTGCAAGAACTTTTTTGTCAAAGAAGGAAAGAAATGTTTTAAATTTCATATTATGAATTGCGAAGAGATCGAGGCCATGCATAGATGTTTTCGTTCCCAACATGCAAGTGTGGAGAATAGGTTGAAAAGGGCTGGTCGCGCTGATGCGCAGGCACGTTCCTGACAGAATGCTTCCGCTGGGCGTTGGAAAAAATGTCTGTATCTTCCGAGCTGTCACTCGCGTCTGAGCAGCCAAACCACAGCTGGAAAGATCTAGTAAAAACAGATTGGCAAGTAAGTGTCTTGGAAGCCATCTTTTCCTTCTTTGCCGAAGTCGAAATAACTCGCAACATGTAAGGTTCAAATCCAACCACGCTAGTGTCACTTTTTGACCCATGGCCGTTGCGCAAACTGCGCGTGTTGTTGCACCTGCATGAACAAGGCAAAGACAAAGAGAAATCAAGCAAAGCAGGCAGCACACAGATGCTCACTTTGTGGCAGTACGTCCCATAGACTAGAAAGATGCACCTTGCCTGGTGCAGCCAAGGTCAAAAAGTTACAGCTCAAAGTGAAAGCACTGCAGCAGGAGTCCGGCCGTTCACGCAAAGATGTCCGAGTAGAAGACAAAAAAAGAAAGAGTGCAGAAAAATCAGCAGAGTGGAAATTGAAAGCGCGCATGGCATATGGTGGGCAAAGATTCCGCATTGCTGGTGTGAAACCTTCCGAATGCAGGCGTTCCAAGAGCTCGAATACTTTTCCTTCCTGCCAAAATGACGAGCAAGCATGGGATCAACTCTCGGGAGACAAGGTGGTTCCCAAAGTGACTTGTTGTCACCTTTGTCAATCGCAGCGTGTCACCGGTCCTTTCTGGGCATCCAAGTCGAGGCCATGCCATTGGCGCTGCCTGGAATGTGATTCTTACATTTCTTGGTTGAATAATTCTGTGTTTGCTGGCATGCGCCTGTCTCCCTTGAGCCTCTGGAAGATGATAGAAGGATATTGTCGCCAAAATCAAAATGTGCGGCCCAATGTGGCAGATGTGTGCCAATGGTCCGGTGTTGGCAAAACCCAGGCAAATCATTTTATTTGTGCACTGCGCAAGGCTGAATCGATGGCTGCGGCGCGGCTAGTGGCTCGCAAAAAATTGCGAGGCAACCTCGAGTTTGATGGAACGAGTTTGGGCAAATTTTGGATTCGAGCTGACAATCAAGTGTACAAGTCGCAAATTGACAACTTGAAATACAGAGCTGCAACCAATGGAAACCCATTTCCCAAGAGTTTGGTGGCACATGTCATGATGCTTGGTGGCTGCGCACGGCACAAATCTCCTCTTCTTTGGGGCCCGGATGTTCGAGTAACTCGGTTAAGCACTGAGGCTGCCTTTGCGAATCCATTGTATCATGCTAATTTCTGCTTACGCATTAAAGAGCGGTTTGTACTAGATGAGAACCTTCACAGACATATCAGACCATGCTGACATCAAGTATATGAAATCTCTGTTCACACCTTGCTGCGTTTACCTCGCTGAGGTAACACTTCCAAAGTCCAGACCTCCTACCGAAAGCAAGAACCAAGTCGAACGAAGCGGCCTGCTCGATCGTGTGCACAAAGGCACTCCATCGAAGCCAGATTCTATTTGTTTCTTCGATGGAAACAAAGCGTGGATGGCTGGAGCAAAGATGCTCGCATGCTTATTACATGTAAAATTCTATTTTCTAAATATTGACTTCACCATCATAATTCCATCTTTTGCCTATTTTGTAAATATAAACTTAACCTCAAACACTGGACGCAGAAATGACATGGATATACTACTGAGGAAACGGAAACTCCTTGCTCGCCAAGTCATTCACCAAGACAAAATCTATGCCAAGACATTGCGCTCCATTCCTCGTCATTTGTCCCAGGTCGCTGGCACACAATGCATTGATCGCCATTAGCGCAGTCTCAAAGAATTTATTGGCCCTGCTTTCCCTCGCAAAATGAAGGGACAATTTGGTTCAAAGCTTCACACAGAGGTCAATGTGCTTGTGAAGCAATGGTTGTACAGAATGTGGTCTAAGTCTTCTTCTCCCAAAGATGTGTATACGAAGTTGACTCAAATCCTGAAATGAAAGAAAGACATCTACTTGGAAATGTGAAACATGAATTGAAAAAAGCAAGTAGTTCGAAGCTGGATTTGGAAGAGTCAAAAAAGCCGGCAATAAACAAAACCACTGGTAAAAACCAGGCGAAATCAACTAGTGGTGGTTGGAAAAGCAGGCGGTCGTCTATCAGCCGCCTACCATGTAGTTCCACATCCTTGCAACTGCTTGGCCATCGCGCCCTGCAGGCTGATCATGGCCAAATGGCCCGCTCTCATCCTAATAGACCGATTGTCTTCTCCTTCATCCATGTCCTTTGTTGGACTGTTTTCGTTGCTGCTGATGTCATCATTTGTATGCAGCATGTCATTGGCCTGATCTCTGGCCTCTTCATCTGCAGCAGTGATGAAGTTCATGAAATCTGCCAGAAGAGCTCGAGGCTGGTTGTAAGCTGGAGCACGTGTGATGTCTCCAGCTTCCATTGCATTTTCAAAACGTCGATTGCATCGCTCAAACATCCAGCTGATCATTCCCTCGGGTGAGAATGGTGGGTATCCATCTGTGTACTCTGTGGCATTGGATGTGACGCTTGCTGTGTCAGCGTCATCAGATCCATCTGCAAAACCAGAACTTGGGCTATCTGGTGTGCCCTCGTTGACCTTTGAGCACTGTGACATCCAGAGCAAGTAAGCACCAAGAAGTCCAATCCATGTTGCAGTGAACATATACGGAATGTCCATCAAGTCGGTTGACATGGCTTCACACCCTTGAAGTTGGAGTGTGAGGAGGCTCAAGGCGCCTATCAAAACTCGAAGTTGTGAATTGCGACTTGAATTGGAAGCTGCTTGCTGTTGAAAGTGCCTGAAAATTCTGCCTGGGTCATCTGATCCTACAAGCTGATTATGCGCTGTGCTCCAAAGTCCAAAGAGGTACATCAGTGATTCCAACCTGGCAATTGAGAGTTGATACATCGGCTGGAATGATTGTTCCCAAAACTGCTTTGACTTGCAACATCTTTTCAACCACAAGATTCTGGAGCCAGAGTACCCTGGAACTCAAATGTTTCAAAGGTCCAACACCTCGACGTGACAAAACTCCACGTGCAGCTGATGAGTCCAAGTACAAATACATGAGAATGCGTACTTGAAGTACCCAACAAAGAATGGTCCTAATGAGGATGGCATCCATGACAGCTGAAGCGGCAGCATATGTTTCCGATTCTGCGCTCGACAGTGACACAATCTTTTGAGACCTTGATGATTTACTTTACACTCCACAAAGAAGCGCAGTAAATTCGTTAAACGTATCGCAAATTTCCAAAAACATAAAACGACGTGGTCTCGCTCAAAAAATCAAACATTCGCAAAGTGGACATGCAGTGGAAAAATGGAAGACGCAGCAGCACTTCTTTTTCACAGGGGAATAAGTCAGCACCTTCCGACCTCCAGGGCCGAAGGGTGTGGCCTTTTTTGTGAAAGACCGTTGGAACAAGGAAAAATTGAGAGGGTGGGAAAAAACAATTCGCGTGAGCGAATAAGGGAGGGAAAGACGAAATTTTTCCGTCAAAACAGAGGTAAAACCCTCCCACCCAACCCTTGAGATGGAATATTTCAGACGAAACATAAAATTCATCATTTCCAAAAAAGGAAGTTTGGTTTGTAAAAACATTTACCGCGCACGAGCAAAACAGGTTTGTCAAAAAGTTTGGTTTTCAAAAAGAAACAAACGTCAAACCGGTTTGCTCAGAAGTTTGTTGCGTGTGCAAATAAGGGAGAGTTTCTCATAGAGAAACTCACTACTTATTTTACACTCCACAAAGAAGCGCAGTAAATTCGTTAAACGTATCGCAAACTTCCAAAAACATAAAACAACGTGGTCTCGCTCAAAAAATCAAACATTCGCAAAGTGGACATGCAGTGGAAAAATGGAAGACGCAGCAGCACTTCTTTTTCACAGGGGAATAAGTCAGCACCTTCCGACCTCCGCCCCACATCAAAGGCTAAGGTGCCTGCGAGTCATCTCCCAGTCAACACTGGTTCTGACCGCACCAAGACCAAGGACTTCTTGAAAGTCAAGTCTGCTCGGAGCGTCAGACGGATTGCTAAAGCTCGGAACTCTTCCGAACCACACCCTGTGCTGCAGCCTGGCTTCCACCTCCACAAAAGACTGGACTATTTCACCAGCACGGAGGGTCTCTCCACTTCCACGTATACAGGCCATTCTGGCCGACTCATTGTCCACATAATAGACCACTTGAGACTGCTGAAAAAACTCACCCCACAACAAGGCTGCCACCAAAATTGGAAGTAGTTCCAACTCATGGATCGGGTTTTGGGACCTGGAGAAAAGATCTTTAAGGATCTCTGAAGGAACACTTTCTCCAAAGAAGTGCAGGCAATCCCCTGCTGGGTTGTACAGAACCCCACCAATGGACCCTGCTCGCTCTTCCGGTTCGCAAGCTCCGTCCGTAAAGACAGACCAAGTAGAGTGAAGCGACTGTTCAATTTTGAGAGGAGGTCCTGACAGCACACGCTGCTTAAGAAACTGCAAGGATCTTCTACTGGCCTCATCAAGCTTCTGTGGCGCACTCGGCTGAGTGCACAGACGTCCAAGAGTTTTCACAGCCGCGTTTGCAACTCTCATGAAGGTGTACCCCTCGAAAAATATCATACGGCCCCGAAGTCTTTCAGCATCCTTAGGGCATCCTTAGGGCTCATTGTATCCTCTGAAAGGAAAGAAGCCAGTTGAGAATGAAGCTCTTCTCTGCGACTTTCCGTATGTCCAATCAAGACGTGGCCTTCAGCGAAGCCATCCGTGCAGACTTCCAGGCCCAGCGTCTTAAACTGAGTTGAGAAAGGAAGGCACTTACGCCCTTCTGTAGCAAACTGCATGCCCAACAAAGTCAGGAGCGACTCGCACGCCCAGCTGCTGCTGCTCTCAAGCTCTGCACGAGACAACAGAGTGTAGTCGTCATAAAAAGCGCTCCAAAGAAGGCCAAGGCCAAAATAGCCAAGAAACCAGATCGCTTGACTAATTCTCAAGAAGCCAGCGACTGACCCCACCGCTCCAAAAGGAAGTGAGTTGAAACCTATCATAGCATATGACTTTGACCCAGGGACGTTCACCCCCATTCTCAGAGAAGCGCGATCCAGTGGATGGACAGCAAATTGTTTGTATGCCGAGCGCAAGTCATAAGTCCGCCCTCTCAGAGCTGGACGTCTACCAGTAGGGCAAGATTTCAAAGCAAAACCAAAAACCGCAGCAAGGAAGTCAACTGAGTGTAGACGAATTTTTTCATGCAGTCCCACTGTGAGATTCAGGCCACAGCAAGTGCAATTGTCGATCACTCGGATCTTTTCCCCCTGGCGTATGCCAAATCTGCGTCCAAGGAATTTGCCCTCCGTGGATGCATCTGTATCCAAGAAAATCCAGCCCTTTTCAAGCTCAGACTCGGTCTCCTTCCAAGTCGCTTCTTCAAGCTCGCTCTCCTGCCGCCTGTTGAAAGATTCCACATTGTTGGCATTGAACGTCTTCCCAAGTTTTCTCAAAGTCTCCAAAGACATGGTGGGTCGCTTTGACCGCGCCCTGAAAACATGTGACTTGGTCATGTAGCCGCTCAAGCGAAAACCTGCAGATATGTCCTCCACTAGCTTCTCATCAGGATAGTGAAGGTCTCTCAACATTTCACCAAACAAAACAAGCCTCTTCTGGCCAAGCACTTGACGCACATGATCAGGCATGGCCTTCTTGAGCTCCTCTTCTTCATGCGCAATCTCTTTTGCTCTGGCTGTCCATTTCTTCAGGTACTCAACACGTTTCTTTGCAAGCTCAAAGGGAGGCGCAACCAGGTTCAGCCTGACAACCTCCTGCATGTTTTCATCAACGTGTACATCAAGCCCCCGTGGATGACCAGCTTTGATTGCTCTTGCAACAAACTCATTGGGTGAGCTCGGAATTCCGACCCAACACAACTCTACCATATCATCGGTCGCCGCTTCTGAAGCGCCCGCAAGAAAATGGCATTCCTCATTCACGACCCGCACAGCACCCCTTTTCAACAGTTGTCGTGAGGTGACCTTGGAGCCTTTGGGCAACGTGGAAAGAAAAACATCAACCTTGTCAGCTTGTTGAGGTGGCGCACCAACTGCAGTGAATTTTCCAAATTCCGCAACCAAAGGTTTCACTTTTGTTCCACGTGGCAAGGCTCCCAACGCTATGCGACCAGCTGCATCGGCATCTGGTTGCTGCAACTGCTCTTTCAGGGTGCTAGAGAAAATGGCACCAAATTGAATGGCCTTCTGCTTCACGCACTCAACAATATGCTGGCACAACACCGGCGGGTAGGCCGCCTCTTCCGAGGTTGGAAAGTGAACTTGTTTGCTGGACATAGTAACCTTCCATGACTTCTGATTGTGGGATCCATCGCACCTGGCTTCCAGACTGTCAAGCCAGCTTTCATTGACCCAAACGGCGGTCAATTTATCACGAGATCCCCCGTGACAGCAGTTGTGGAAGGTGATCCTTTTGTCACCAAAACGTTCAATAAGGTTCTGCATTGGTGTTGTGTTCCAGTAGTGGCTATTGCCGGGATTTTCAATGCCTGTGAAAATATTGTTGTTGCATGCCGTCGTTGCAATTCTTTCCACCGCAGAATAAAGCATGTTGGCCTTCTCGACCTTGAGCTTGTTGGTTTCACCAAGCCCGTCAATTTGGTCGGGCTTTTCCAAGGAACGCAGAGGGATTGGGATTTCAATGCCCAACCTTTGCAGCTCTGGCAATCTACGTTCCCTTGCTTTACTTGCCGTCCCACACGACGGTGCAATCCAAACTGCAGCAATGTTGTCCGCTTCGGACTCCAAAAAATTGCAAAGCTCCTCCACCTGAGCATCATCTTCAAGTTCGAAGATGCAAATGTCAATGCCACACGAACGTTTCTGCGTGTGGTCAATGGCAATGCCGTTGAAACCAAATTCCCTTGCTGTACGCGTAAGTCGCGCACTCCCTGCACAAACTTCCACAAAAATGAGGTCACTGATGAGTTTACCATTGAACTTCAGTTTTTGTGAATTCGCAAAATCTGTAGACTGGTCACCCTTAAGGTCTCCAGCTGTAGAATTGCCACGTGAGACACTTTGCGGAGGAACTGCACTGTCTTGAACAGCGTGAAGCTTGCCTCCACCTTTTTTGTGCGGTGGACCAGAAGTATTTGACTCTTGTCCTAGTGAAACTGCTTTTCTTTTCCCACCTGGCCCGTCTGGACCAGTGGGCTTGCTTTGTCAGGCTGAGTCGCCTTTTTGGAGTCCCCTGCACACCAAAACTGAGTGTCCAGGCTTGTGGCAATTGGCGCAAACATGGAATCCCTTTGCGCACCTTGATGGCTTTCCGGACGTTGCATTCTTGCAACCAGACTTCATGTTGTATGCCCAGCATACTGGGCCATGCTCACATCTCAACTGGAATTTCTTCAGCTCTTCCGGACAAATCTTTTCAGCACGGGTTTTGCGACGTTTGTTGCCGCCTGCACTCTTGGCCGCAGGTTGTTGCGACCCACTTGCTGGCACCTTTTTTGGCGCTTCCTTGTCTGCTTGTTTTGCTGTTGCAACTGTCGGCAGCAAAAACATGGTAATCCTTGGATCATGTCGCAACTTGGGGAACTCGGTGTCCAGAGGTATCAGCCCTGCAGCATCAGGCTTGAGGCTGCCTTTGTAATCCTGCGCCAACAGCGTCCATAATTCACGGTCAGCACGAATCAACTGCTCAACTTTGACATGTTGAAACCCTGGTGGTGGCTGCTGGCTCATGGTCCTGAAAAGTTGCCCAGGCGTCATGCGTTGACCAAGAAAGAAGTCTGCATTGATCCATTGCTAGTCCCCTGCGTTGCCAACACCACTGCAACTTGATTTCGCTCCCATGGTCTGCTTTGAACTCTTCTGCCGTCTGGGACACCTTGCGCTGATGGTTTTCCACCTGCACTGAAGATGGCCTTTCCCTAATGGCCAATTGAACCTCATCCGACCGCTTTGTGCACCTGCTAGGAGCGATCCAAACCAAAGCGCCTGTCTCAAGAACGTTGTTGGCCAAGTCAATCAATTGGTGACTGGGCTCAAGCTCACCGCTGATGCTGATCCCTGACAACCTTTGTTCTTGTTGTTCAAGTCTATGCTTCTTTTCAGCTATTGGGATCTTCTTCACACTGTCGGCCTTCTCAGCGGCCTCACCGTCCACCCGTTGCTTAACTGACGCAATCATGAGGGTTGTGGATTCAAAGTGAACCCTGCGCAACATTGATGTCTGCCCCAAAGTGAAGCCAGCCCCAAACACCACTCCAGCCAAAGTGTCAAACTGCTGGTCAGTTGGTGGTGTTTGAGGCGTCCCCAATGCAAACGCCATTGCACTGAATGTCCCAATGTTTTGAGCTGCCAGTGCTGTGCTAAAGTTCCTGGTCGGGTCAATCTCATTGCACCGTTGTACGAAAGCGGCATTGCTTTCAACCAGCGCCATCATTTCACAGGCACGCGTTCAGTCAAACTACTGCAAACACAAAGTGAAAAGAATTGAACATGATTGCAACTGAGTTGAAAGTATCAAATGGTGCTTTGTCAATCTGACAGCTGAAGACTGTGAAGTGATGAAGCCATTTCATCTCCTATCACTCGTCTGTTGAAGTGATTTTTTTAAAAAAAATGGTCATGCGTGTTCAGCTCAAGCACCGAACAAATCAGTACTCTAGAGCCTCTCCACTGCACCGGTCTGACGCAATGTTGCTCCTTTTAACCCTCAAGGTCAAAACGGCGCACACACGACTGCACTCAGACATGCCAAATGGAAATGAAGTGACTGATTTGTGGTTTGTGACACTCGCCACCCTACAGCGCCTCACACGCCGTCTTTTTGGAGGTAAGCTGTGTCCGAGCTCTGAGCGTGCACGGTTGTTCATGCACCGGCAGTCGCAACCACTCACGTCGCTTTCAAACCAAACAAGTTTCGATTGCGTTGATTGTTCCAAAGAAACACATCAAACAATCAGTCAACCTGTAAATCAATGACTAAAAATGGTAAAACTGCACATGCCGACATGGAATGAAAAGCGTGACAGTGGCGTCATGCATGATGTAAGTGAGTGCAAACTCTCGTCAGCAACCCTCACTCTAACATCCACGCTCTGACAACTCAAAATTGAAGGAAACTCTTTGGCATCATTCTGAATGTTTCTTCCTGTGAGGGCCTGACAAGGCTTTTGCTAGGCTGGGGCTGATGCCACAGTCCACTGCACATGTTGCATGATCACTTGAGACATGTTTGCATTGTGTTGACATCAAATTTCAAAAGACATGTCAACACAACTGGACTGTAAGCCGCAACCCTGAAAGTGCCGGACTTCCAATCTCGGAGTCTCCGTGCCGGTCCACGTCGCTGCACTGGCAACCATTCAGATTGAATACCGATTGTGCAAACACAGTGACAAGTTGACACGTAAAAAGAGTGTGAGTTCAACAGTGTGAGTTCAACATGAGTCCCACGACATTCCAAAAATCATCAGCTCAGGTTCAGTGCAGCTTTTTGTCCAATGGAGTCAATCTGCAAGTGCTGAGTTCCCTGCCCTTGACAAAGACTGCATGCAAAACAAACTGAACTGTTCTGAAAAGACATGCATGCAAACTGCGGTCACTTCAAAAGAAAAGGAAACCAGCATCATGCAGCTTTCTTGAAACAGGCCCAACAGACCGGCGAGTCAAATCTGGGGTCACCGACAACCTGTTTGTGAAAGCTGCCAACTGACCTACCGCAAACGAAAACCTTAAAATACCCAGGTTCAGTGAGGTGCACAGTCTTCAGTTTTGAATGCTGCCATCTAACAAACCCGGAAGGTGGCTGTGGCGGTGCAAAGACCCTGTTCAAGCTGTGATCTGCTGGAACATCACTGCTCGAAGTTCCAGTCCCATCTGTGCTATCCGAAGATTCTGAATTGTCCAAAGTCTCAATTCTCTCCTCGTCTGATGACAAGGTTGTCTCAACTTTCACTTCATCACTTTGAGCTCCCGACGGACCTGCTGGAGATGCAACCAGTCGTCCACTACGAGTGCTGTCAGGTTTGAATTTTCCTTTGGCTATTTCATCAATCAGACCCTCAAGCAACAACAAGCTTGCTGCAGCACCATCACGTGAATACACCATGGCCATGTGCATCTGTGAACTGTGATAACCCAGCATCAACCTATCAGGCACTGACAGTCCACGCTTGGCAGCAAAGGATAACATGGTACATTTGAGGCTGTGACTGCTCACCCTTCTTTCCGCTGAAGGTCCAGTGGCATCCTCTGCACCCAGAAGGCGTCTAAGCCACTTACCACATTCCCCAGATTCTAACGGCCGCTGTGTCGCTTCACCATCTTGTCCAGGAGCTGGCATGATTAGTCCCTCTGGCGGGAACTTCATTCCTAACCCTGAGCGCCGTTGAATCCAGGGTGTGGCCCATTCTGCCCCATGCACTCCACGGACTGGTGCTACCATGGGAAGAAACTGGTGCCTGTGCATCTGAGAGCTCATAGTCTTGTGCCTTCCCGTCCTTGTCTCCAAGAAAGCTGGAGCTCCATTCTCATCCTTGTCCAGGAATGCAGCTTCACTCCGCATGAGGTCACCCCATCGTCCTCGACAATAGCAGCAGAGCAGTGCTGCACCAGCAAAAGCCACGTCCCAGTCATCACTGGCTTCATCAACCACTGCATGCAATTGTAAAAGCTCTGCAACTGTCAATGGGCTCGCCTGTTTCCGTTCTTGGGGACAAACTTCACGGGCCACCCCACTGCAACGCTTGCTGTCCAACACAGTTTGCAACTCTGAGACATCCAGCACATGACGACAGAAGGCAATGGCCTGCATGACACCTTGAAGACGGCTGGCAGGGGCTCCTTCCGCCAACTGTGAACACATGAACCTGTAAAGGGTGAGCTCCCTCATCGGAAAGCGTTCCAATTGGTGATCTTCAAGGTAGTCGCATACCTTCAAAATTGCCATGCCCCTTTTCCTCACCGTGATGGGGGCCCTTCCAGAGAAAACATGTGCAAACATGTCAAAGACTTCTGCCTCGTTGCGCATCTCTGCAAGCCTATTGGAAAAAGTGCAACTGCCATCCCACTTGCTCGTTACAGCGATCCACAGCTTGATGCTCCTCTGCAAATCTGCCTCTCTCTGATCTTTCCAAGGCACGTCTGGTTTGAAAGAAACCACATCCATAGAATTGCAACTCTGAAAACGACTCCTCTTCAGCACACCTGTGGGCTCTGCATCGAGCAATCGTTGTTCCATGCCCCAGAGCGCAGGGATTGGTCTGCTGACCTGTGGTCCCCAAACACCAAAATCCAACCCTGTACTATCATCACCAAAATATATTTCCAGATGCCAGTCTCCCAAACTTGTTTCGGTTGCTCCTGGTTCACCGTGTTGAAAGCCACATTCAGTACAGCGTCAAAGTTGACAACACCACCACTGCTACTGCTTGCAACATCTGAAGAAACTGCCTGGAAATCCTGTTCAACAAGACGTGTCACATGAAGATCTTCTGAAGCCACTGTAGTAGGACTACCAACAGAGTTTGCAAAGAAATTCTCCTGTAAGTCGCCCTCACCAGAATGATCAACATCTTGTTTTGAGAAACTTGCAATGTCAGCACCCACAGAGATGGCACTCGCCTTGCCCAAGTCATCTGTAAAACTGATGAAATCATCTACCAGCTCTTCTGCAACTAGACTCCGTGTCCCGACGTGATCATCTGAATTTGCTCCAGAAACATCCATGGAACTACCGTCTAAACGACTACCCCCATGAAAGACGAATTTTTTCCGTCAAAACAGAGGTAAAACCCTCCCACCCAACCCTTGAGATGGAATATTTCAGACGAAACATAAAATTCATCATTTCCAAAAAAGGAAGTTTGGTTTGTAAAAACATTTACTGCGCACGAGCAAAACAGGTTTGTCAAAAAGTTTGGTTTTCAAAAAGAAACAAACGTCAAACCGGTTTGCTCAGAAGTTTGTTGCGTGTGCAAATAAGGGAGAGTTTCTCATAGAGAAACTCACTACGAGTACACCAAGCATCCTCCGTAGAAGATTGCACTTCCAGACACCGATCTTTTGGTGTTTCTGTCTGCAGCCCAGTCTGCGTCACTGAAGATCTCAAGAACAGGCTCCTCACATTCGTAATCACGGAGTAGGCCTGAATGCATGCCCTTCCATTTCAAAGAAACGCATTGGTCAGAGTGACCAGCCATGTAGCCAACCAGATGCTTCAAGACCACCATCGCTTTCTGTGTGGGTTTTGATGCACAAGTTGAGGGATATCTGATCACATATTGGCACTGTGGAAAATCTGGAGACAAGTACCACAGGATCCCAATGCAGGATCTATACGCTGAAGCATCCTGTGGTTTCAGCTCTTCAGTGTTGTCGGGTGTTTCAATTTCACTGTGACCAGGAGAGCGTTTGTTCTGCAAACGTTTCAACAAATGAAGCAACTTGCAAAGCTGATCCAAATGTTTGGGATGGATTCGAATAACCATCCTTCCATCTTTCTTCAAGGAGTTGATGTGTTTTCTTCAAAAACGTCACTTCATCACCTGGTCCAGACATGATCTCAATGGAAACTGTGTACTTCGCTTGCAGTGAAGGGATGAATTCTTCCAGGACAGTCTTCCTGGAACCCACAATGAGAATGTCGTCGATGTGCACCAACATCAAACAGACGCGGATTTGGTAGTGCAAACTCAGCAGAGGGTCAATCAAACTGACGCGTTTTCTTTCAAGCAGTGGCTGATCTACGCAGAACCAGGTTTTGACAACGACCTCAAGCATGTTGAGGAACATTTGAATGTTCCTGTGGCCTACACTGCAGGTGCTGACGGTGCTGCAACTGAAGCACGTTCAAAGAAGCTGTATGCGATCCTTTCAGGTCTTTTGCAACAACGACCTCTTAAGCTGTTGAAGAAGGTGCCCAACAGCAATGGCATGGAGGTGTGGAGACAGTTGAGCAGTCTGTATACTCCAAAAACCAAGAGCAGACCCCTGGGAATTCTCAGCGCTTTCATGACTCACCCGGCATTTGCAAGGGATAAAACTTTGCTGGAACAAGTGCAAGGACTGGAACGCATAGCTGATGAATACCGCAAAAGCAGTGGTACTGAGGTGGCTGATGACCTACTTCTCACAACGTTGGTCAAATGTTTACCACGTCAGCTGCAGCAACATGTGCAGTTGAATATGACAGAAAGTTCAACGTTTGCAGAGATCAAGGAGAGGGTCATAGCCTTTGAGATGCTCAGTGCAACATGGAGCAAGGAGAAGGTCTACTCAGAGCTTGGTGCAGTCACCTCCTACACCACTGATTCTGGAGGTTCAGTGCCCATGGACATCAACCAGGTGTCCAAGGGGCAAATCAAAAGGCAAAGGTCAAAAAGGCACATCACCACAGAAAGGCAAGGGCAAAGACAAAGGCAAATCACAGCAGGGTGGCAAAGGTTATGGTTCATCCTCCAAAGGAGGTGGCAAGACTCAGGCAGAGACGACTGATGTCAACCGTTGCAACTATTGCGGTGCATCTGGTCATTGGAAGAAGGATTGCAGAAAGTTTCAGGCTGACAAAGCTTCTGGTGCTGTTAGACACGTTGAAGGTGATGGCAGCCATTCTCAGCGTGTTGCATCGAGCCACAGCAGCACTGGTACAGCTCAGCAATCTCCAAGTGCAACTTCTTACAGGTCAACATGGTAACGTGAACCGTGTTGCTTTCAGCGATTCCACTGTCATCATCGAGGATCTCACTGAGTTCACTGACAACAAAGCTTCTAGCTCTGGTTTGGTTCGTGCAATTCAACAGTTTGAACCTATGCAGTTTGACATGGCATGCACTGATGCTGATGAAAACTGGACTTGTGAACCTGACTTCAAGGAGCCCAATCATTGCGCATGATGACATTAGCAAGTTCAGACTCAGCTGACATCATTCTGGACTCTGGCGCTGACACAAGCGCGTTGCCGCTGGCTTACATTGATGTTGGAGAATCATGCAGTCATGAAACAATTGGTCAAGACTGCATTGATGCTCAGGGTGGCAAGCTGGATATCAGAGACACCAGATTAGCCACAGTTGATTTGGCAAACGGTGTTGTTTTGCGTGAGCGTTTCATCATTGCAAACATCAGCTGTCCACTCTTGGCGCTTGGCCACATCATTCGAGCTGGTTGGGTACTTCAGCACACAAACGATGGAATTTGCTTGGTGAAGAATGATAGGATTGTCAATGTTCACTTCAAACGCAACTCACTTTGTGTGCAAGGCTGCATTTGAATGATTTCTGAAGATGATGTCATGAGCCCCAAAAGCACAACTCCATCATTGCCTGCTGTACGTGCCATTCATCTTGAGCGTGTTTTGCGTCGACTGCTGCCAGGATGGAACAAGAACAACCCACAGGTCTATGCACTGACCACGCGCAGAGCCAAGTTTGTTGACACAACTGTTTGCCCGGCAGGTGAGATGATGTGGTTGAGAACAGCTTCGGTTTTCAGAAATGGTCAAGGTTGGGAACTTTTGGGATTTTCAGGGCCTGTGAGTGCAATGGATGACATGGAAGGTGACATTTACGACCCTGAAAGCGTTTTGGAAGTGCTGACAATAGCTCATGTCCACTGCGTGCCCAGCGAGAAACTTGGTTTCAGAATCATAGATGATGCCAGGAGACCAGTTTTTGATGATGATGTGGAGGAATCAGAAGAGCCACATCAACCACAACCTGTCGAAGAAACGCCAGCTGATGTTCCTGACTCTGAGCCTTTGGATGAAGATCGTGTGATCCCATATGTTGATGAGTCTTCAATCACGATTGATGGCGTCACTTACACTCATGACACTCCTTTGCGTGGACTTAGGGCTGGCTGCTCTTCACTTGGACTCTCCACACGTGGTTCAAAGAAAGATTGCATGAAACGCATGATTGAGTTTGTGAAAACACGTGAGCTCATGGAAGCTCAGGCAGTTGAAGCCAAATTGAAACAGGACGTTGAACGCCATGCCATGCATCTCTGCTTTGACTGGTGACGACTGGTGAGTTCATTTGGGCCAAACTCACTGGACGCCATCACACAACCCGTCAGGACTGGTACGAAGTTATCGGATTCTCCTTTTCGGCAATCATATGACTGCCCTCCTTGCAAGAAGCACTATATACTTTTTTTTTCCCGGGTTTGGCCGATGACGCTGGTGCGTTTTCCACGTGCTCTTTTTGGAGCCGCTCCTTCACCAATTTTTGGGTACTTTTGATTTTGCTTCCGCTACTGCTAGTTTTTCTTTTTGGGTGTTTGATTTCTTCCTTTGCACAGCCTTTCTTCTTTTTGCTGGAGTTCAACAGCCCAGCTACCGGCCCAGCTGCCATTGGCTGTTCCCTTGTACAACTGCAGCGCTCCAGCTGGCTAGCCGGGTGGCTGCCAGAGGTTCCAGAATCCTTGGCGGGCATACTCCGTTTAACTTTTCAGCTAGACTACAGTTAGGTCTCGGTCTCAGTATGTCTTAGTATGTCTCAGTCTTTGCTTGGAAAAAAGTTCTCTGTTAAAAAAGGGCGGATCAGCCAGATTTGCGTTTCGCCAAGGAAAACAACAGCGAAGCAACAAACAAACGGGGCCGGGGCCCAACACAAACAAAAAGCACACACGATTTGCCACAAAACACAGGGGGATTTCCCACTATCACAAAAAGACAACTTGCAGAAACAGAAAGTAATTATGTACTCTAGAGGCCCTTCGCTGCAAGACCAGACTTGGTGCCAGATTTTGGGCCCAAAACCGGTTCCTGCTGCAGAGTTCAAAAATTGGGACTAGCGTGTCTCGGTTTCAGTGTGTGTGTGTGTGTTGCTTTCTGTCTTTCTCTTTATTTAGTCCTAGGAAAACCGTGGGCACTATTTGTATATAAGACACCAGAGTACATACATGTCATATATGTATATGCTCCTGCGGTGTCCGGTACGCTTTGTCCTAAACGCTTGTTGTCCAACCATGCTGCCGCCAACCCCTTAGGGGCTTATGCGCTTTCGGAAATTAAAAACTTCTGCAAATCTTCCAAAAAACCTTCCACTTCTTTCATCACATCCGACAAAATTAAAAACATGCTGCAACTGTCAATGATCACACACGCACAGTAGCGCCATGTCTTTTTTCCAACTGGCGCATTGGGGATAGAGTTCTTGGTCAAGCTGCCGTCCTATCAACGGTAGGGTAGGCCTGTTGAAACAATTGGTTTAACTGATTTCTGAGGCTCTCGAAACCCTGTCAGGGTAATCGTCTGCCAAAATACAGTTTTTGTGGTGTGAGGGTGGGAAAAACAGGGCGGGTGTTGTCACACCACATCGAAGGCTGATGAACGGAAAGGACTTCGACATTCACAGATTAGTTCACTAACACCAGTTAAACAAGGTTCACATGTTTGATTCTTGTTTAAAAGGTTCTCAAAAAATTTAGGCAGCAAGGTTTCCTGTTTCACGTTTAAACAAAACCACAACAAGACAAACACAAGCGACATCCACAAAGCGCACGTTCAAAAGTTTGATCTTTGCCCACTATGTTTTTGTTTGACAAAAACATTTTTCCTTTGGCCAAATAAGGTCACGATCTTTGTACCAAAGAGTAGTAACTTATTTAGTCCTAGGAAAACCGTGGGCACTATTTGTATATAAGACACCAGAGTACATACATGTCATATATGTATATGCTCCTGCGGTGTCCGGTACGCTTTGTCCTAAACGCTTGTTGTCCAACCATGCTGCCGCCAACCCCTTAGGGGCTTATGCGCTTTCGGAAATTAAAAACTTCTGCAAATCTTCCAAAAAACCTTCCACTTCTTTCATCACATCCGACAAAATTAAAAACATGCTGCAACTGTCAATGATCACACACGCACAGTAGCGCCATGTCTTTTTTCCAACTGGCGCATTGGGGATAGAGTTCTTGGTCAAGCTGCCGTCCTATCCCCCATTTCGAGATCCAGCCCAAGAACCTTGCCCATTGCCAGCCAGTCTATAGGCCCTTTCACTGCGCCCAGGTCTAGAAGGAGTTTATCCTCTAGCCGGCTTGGTGAATCCGCCAAATTCGACAATGACGGTACCCTGGCAAACCACGACTTCAATTGCAGCTTCATCTCTTCAGCGGTGAAAGCATCAACCATGCAAGCCGCAAGTGGTGTGGCTCCTTGGCCTTTAATAAAAGCGGATCTGCTAGCTTCGTTGTCCAAGTACCAGCACACTTGAGCTAGGTTTATCCTGCCTTTCCACAGCCAAACAGACACCAGAACCGGAAGGACCTCCAGCTCGTAGATGGGGTTTTTGGACTTCTGCAACAAACATCGCATGATGTCCACTGGCACCCCACCACCAAAGAAAGAGACCACTCGACCGAGCGGGTCAACAAGCACGCCCCCCACGCCACCTTGTTTGTTGTCATCTGGGCCCTCACAAGCTCCGTCTGTAAAAATAACCCACGACTGCAAACATGCTGGTGTAATGGACAGAGGCGGCGCGGTCAGCACACGCTCGCACAGGAAACTAAGGGCTGTCATGTCGGTCTCTGATAGAGTGATTCTTTTGCGACCACTCAACGCCAGTTCTCCAAGAACTTTGACTGTGCTGTTTGCCACCCTTCCGAAAGCAAAAGACTCAAACCAGTGAAGACGTCCCCGCATGGACTCTGCTTGTTTTGAAGTGATGCTTTTTTCCTTAAGAATTTCTTGCAGCACCAAACTAAGCTCTTCCCGCCTTTCCGTGGTGTGGCCCAGTTGCACAACTCCAGCTCCAAAAGTCTGAAGGTCTATTTCCACACCCAAACTCTTGAAACGCTTTGCAAACTCACAAGCTTTATCACCGTCTCTTGCAAATTCTACGCCAAGCAGATCGAAAATGGCCTCCACCGTCTTAGACGTGTTGGAGACCAGGGCGTCCCTTGCAAAAACTGTGTAGTCATCGAAAAACGCTGTCCATACCAACCTGAATATCGCCATGCCAATGTACCAAATGGCCAGGCTGACTCTGAGGAAGCCCCCCACGGACCCAGAAGCCCCAAAGGGGAGGCTATTTATTCCAAACAGATCCACTCCATTTGTGTGCGGATTGCGGACTGCTAACCGGATAGTGTCACGGTCTGCCACTGATATACCGTACTGCTTGTACGCATGTTTCAAGTCATATGTGCGTCCAGAAACGCCTTCAACCCCATGTCCATTCTGCACAAACTCAACCATGTATGCAAGAAAAGCCGCACACTCATCCATGGCATGAACCCTATACTTCTCCACTGCTCCCATCGTAGAGTTTATGCCCCCTATGGAGCAGTCGTCAATCACTCTCAACTTGCCAGCTCGTTGAACCAGTCCAAAACGTTTCGCAAGGAAAAACTGCGTGGGGTCAGCGTGCTCATCATGCCATATGTATCCGAGGTTAACTTCCTCGAGCGTCTTCTCCCAGGTTTTTTGGACCAGCTCCGCATCATCTTTGTCTTCGCGCAACTGTTGTAAGATGGCTTTGTTTAAGCCACGTGCCATTTGTTTCAACGTCCCCAAAGAAAACTGAGGCCTTTTGACACACTGTGGAAAAACCCCTGTCTTGTCCTGCCACCCAGTTATGTTGAAACCTCGAGCTAAATCCTCCACCAGTTGTTTGTCTGGGTAGTTGACTGATTCCAACATCTCCTTAAATAAGAGAAGCCGCTTCTTATGCAGCAGCGCTTGCATGTGTTGTGGCAAGCCGCCCTTGTATTTCTTTTCTTGTTCTTTAAGCTGTCCTGCCCTAATTGTCCACTTGGTGAGCTCCCTGCACCTATGCAAAGCTAGTTCTGCCGGCTCCTCTGTCAAGTTTTGTTCAATGACCTCCTTCGCCAGCTGTGGTAAATGAACAGCCATACCTCTCGGATGGCCACACTTTACAGCTCTTTCACAGAAATCCAACGGTGCCCTGGGCACCCCATACTGCGATACCATGACTTCTTCCTGTCCAGACATGCCATCAGTTGAAGAGTGAAAAATTTGTTCATCAACCCGAACCTCGCCCATTTGTGCAAGACGTTGATGAACCAGTTTTGCCCCTGCAGGGACCACATCAGTGGGGTTTTCAACATGAGGTGCGTGCACAACTGTATGGTACTGACCATATTCTGAAACCAGCGGCTTAAACTTCTTTCCCCTTGGAAGTGCTGACAGGACCACTCTGTTTAATGATGTGTGTTCGACTTGTATCTGTTGCTCCAAGTTATGCACATCCACCACTCCAAGCTGCAGCAGTTGGTCGCGGACGATCTCCACCATTCTAGCACACAAGAGAATTGGATAGGCTGCTTCCTCCGCTGTCGGGTATTGCACTTTCCCGTCGATCACTTTAGGTTGCCAGCTCTTATGCTTGTGGAGACTCTCCCCTGGGCACGTCGCAGATAGTGGCAACAACCATGGCAAAGAACCCCAAAACCTTGAGTTTTTCTTCCGTGCACCTCCATGACAACAGTTGTCAAAAATGCAGTCGTATCCCCCCAGGTCATTTAGCAAATCCACCATGCATGGTATAATCCAAAAGAGACTGTTTGTAGGGTTTTCGATTGTTACAAAAACTCCCCAAGCAACCAGCATGCGTACCAACTTGGCCGTAACTTCGTATACGTGGTTTGCTGCTTCTGTTCTGACCAAATCCACTCCTGACAAACCTGGCAAACCAAGTGGGTGTTCAGAGGATCTCAAAGGCTTGGGTACTTTGAAGCCAGCTTTTTCTAAAACCCTATTCGGTTTCTCACGCGCTTTTGATGCTGTGCCACAAGCGGGTGCAAAGTGCACCCAACCGAGATTCTGCTGCTCCGCTTGCAAAAACTTTTCCAACATGTCCAGCTCCTCAGGTTTTGTCACATCACAAACAGAAATTTTTGTACCGTGTGATCTGTCCGCTGTCTTGTCCACTGCCACGCTACGGCAACCAATGTGTCTGCAGGCACGTGCTAACCGGGCTGACCCGGCATATATTTCCACCATCAAAACTTCATTCAGCGACTTCCCTGAGAGCCTGTCGGTTGGACTGACTGTGCTGCCATCTTGCTGTGAAACACTTTTGCTTTGCAAAGATTGCAATTTCCTCTTTGCATCATCTAGGTTGAAACTAGCCTCATTGGCATCCTGCGCTTTGCGACAAGATTCCGCCCTCTGCATTGTCGACGTCTCGTCTGTAACTGCTGTAAAGGGCACGGCCTGTGAAACTGTATGTGGACCCTCAATCGACTTTCAGGCATTGGCGCGGCAAGTAGCCACCCCATGATTATTGCGTAGGCACTTCATACAAACGTGTGCCCCCTTTTTGCAACGCCCATTCTGGACTGATTCTTTGCATCCAGACTTCATGTTGAAGGACCAGCAAATGGGTCTGCCTTGCTCATCCACTTGTTTGAACTCCTTGAGCTCGGCAGGGCACAACGTCTTGGCGCGCTGTGACTGCTTTCCTTCTTTCCTGACTTTGCCTTGGCCCTTTGCCCCGCTCTTTCCGAACGGGTTTTGTGCTGGCGCTCCCGCTGAGGAAGCTGGGGTTTTTGCAACTGCATGGCTGGGTACTGGCAACAAAAACATGGTGACCCTCGGATCTGTAATCAGTTTTTGAAAAGCAGCATTCATGGGGCTGGGCACATCCGTCAGCCTCTGGTCTCCGTGTTGGTGCTCCTCCGCCATGATCATGAATAGCTCCTTGTCTGCTTTGATCACTTGGTCAATCTTAACTTTGGTGTAGCCCTCTGGTGCGGCCTTGGATAGTAAGCCCAACAAATACTGGACCCACCTCTGATGTAAGTCCCAGTCCACCAACCGGCATTGGTCAAGGGCAATCCCCCTGCGCTGCAAGCACCATTGTAGTTGCAACTCCGTATTACTGTCCGCCTTCAAGGTTGTCTCAGCTGCAGTGACCTTGACAGTTTGTTGTTCAACCGACAAAATTTGAGATTTCTCCTTTGTCGCAGCCAGTTGTATTTCAGCCTCTCTTTTCGAGCACTTCGATGGCCCTATCCATATGATGGTGTTTGACTCCAACATCGACGCAGCCAAGTCTATGAGGGCGTGACTGGGCTGAAGTTCACCTGCAATGTGTAGTCCACCCAGCCTGGCTTGTTGTTGCTGGAGCCTGGCTTGCTTCTCTGCAGCAGGAAGTTTCCTGCTACCCTCGGCGCTTGCGTCCAAAGACACCTGCTGTTTTGTATGGGCCACAATCAACGTACATGCTTCGAAGTGCAACCTCCTAACACGAGACACCTCCGATATGGTCATGTCTGTACCGTTGTTCAGTTGTGTACAGAAAGCATCAAAATCACCTGCTGTTGCTGGGGACTGAGGTGTCCCAACTGCAAAACCCAAATCACTGAATGTTCTCAAACTGTTTCGGGTCATCACCGTCTTCAGCCATCCTGATGCGTCTATCTTGTCACAGTGCACATGGAAAGTCGCCTGAGAGTCCACCAGAGCCATGTTGTACGCGGTCGCACTACGAGAAAATCCTATGCGACAATGAGCTGTGTCTGTACAAGTTGTGTCCTGAAAGAGTCTGCTGAAATTCAATTCAATGCAAATGTAGTGAGTTTATGTTTGAAGCAGTCCATGGTCCCTCATGAAAGAGCTCTCACTTAGCTCTGAGCCAATCTGCCCTGGTCCATTCATGATCACATGAACCCTCCAGAGCAGACTCACACGACGTCACCGCTAAATTCAAATCTCACCTTACACAAAATTTCAAAAAGTTTATTTCAAACAAACGCAACATGCAGCTCAGCCCTACTACATGTAGTTCCGCTCAGCTGCCTAGGTTTCTGCCTCGCATTTGTGGCGTTTTGCCATCAGTTCGAAGTCAGCTGGCTCCAGGGCCGATAGTTTTGAAACATTGTGTGCACTTGATGACATCAAATCTGTGGTCAAGACCTTCCTTTCGGAATCTGTCCGTAATTTTCCTACCACAAGACAGCACCCTAATGTTCCCTTTGGGAGCAAGATGCACAGTACGAAACTTGACATGTTTCCATATGTCTACATCATCTGGAATAAGAAATGTTCTGTTTGGCGCCTTTGGTAAGACCACGGCCTCTTCTCCACTGCTGCTCTCGCTGCATGTCGTGGCGTAGTCGGAAACCAGGTCAATGGCTTCCCCATTCAACTCACTTGCATCAAGAACCACTGTCGTTTCCTTTTTGACCGTTTCTACAACATGCTCAACTGAAACCCAGCCCTCATCATGCCTCTGTTCAAGTTGTTGTACAAACCTGCCACTACGTGTTTCGTCTGGGAAAAAACGTCCTTCCCTGACAGCTCTGATGCACTCCTCCAGGACTCTCAATGGCCTGGATGCCCCATCACGACTGTAGCGCAGTGCCATCCTAACCTGATCTGTATGGTACCCCAAGGCCAAACGATCCTCAAATGAGCATCCAAACTTGGCAAGGTAAGAGAGACAAGTTGCTTTGAAAGAATGTGACGTGTACTGCAATGGTGACTGCACAGCTGTTTTGGAAACCTGCTGCATCAAAATCACATGTAACCACTTTCCAGCCTCAGACGTGGACAAGGGCCTAATTGTGGGTGTCCCTCCTTCATCAGGCGCAGGCATCAAAGGGAAAACTGACAAATCGTCAATGTCCAGTTCTTCACGTGCTCTTTTCCAATGAACCGCCCAACAAGAACCTGAAACACCTGTGCCTGGTGCCGTCAATGGTAAAAAGGCATGTCTCATGTTAAGCGCACGGCACGTCTTGTGAACAGCTGTTGAACACTCCACAAAACATATGTTGCCAGCATCGTCACAGTCCCATTCCAAAAACTGGGAGTGTTGGGCATCAGACCACCTTGCCCTGCCGTAAACGCAGAAAAGCACCATGCCGCAAAATGCAACATTCCAAGGATCGACATCTGACTCAATGACTGCATGTATGCACCCTAAGTGCACGACCATCAGAGGTGGTGCCTGCTTGACCGTCTCCATCTCTTTTGAACTTGCAGCCCCCATACATCGTCTGCTCTCTGTGGCAACATCCAAGGACTCGCACCCAAAAACATGTCTAACGAAAACTATTGCTTCCATCAGTGCTTTCAGCCTAGACGATGGGGCCCCGGCGCTCCTCTGTCTGCACAAGTGGTCGTACAGTTCAGCTTCACTGCAAGGAAATTCCAAGTTGTTTGCATGCAAATCATTCACCAATCTTGAAATACTGTTGCAACGTTTCAACAACGTACCAGGAGCCTTATGATGCAATATGTCAACAAGTATCTGACATTGACCTCTGAAGTCTGTTTTTTCCTGAAGCATCTGTATAATGCGTTCATCTCCTTTCCAGGTCATTGCACAACTATGCCAGCGACGAATTGCCACTTCCCATGTACTGTCTCTCTGTTCCCTCCAAGACTGAATGCAACTCTTTGAAACAACGTCCATGTATGTGGCAACCTTCAAACGCTTGCCTGGCACATCTGAGCTCCCTGCCGGTTCCTCCAAGCTACGTTCCATAACGGGTTCAGAAACCACTGCAGGTCTGTGCAATGAAAATTGTTTTGAAACCAAATCTGTTGTGCTCTCACTGTCAGCCGCTCCAAAAATTTCTGCCCAAAAACCACTTTCCCAGAAAAATTCCACAGGTTTAGGTTCAAGTTGAAGCCAAGAGTTGTCCAGCACCCGTTCTCTATCGTAGACCTTCATGTCGACAGCTGGAACTGCATCTGTATCTTCAAATGTTCCAGGAGAGTAACCTTCTGATGTATTCTGCAAACAGCCATCTTTGTGTTCCAAAAGAAAACCAGGTTCTAAGCCCAATGCAAAGTCCAAACGTCCAAATGGGTCCACACCACCAGAGCCAGCACCATCGCTCGCAGGATCGGCCCGCGGCGTAACAGCTGCACTGTTGTGTAAAGCTCCACCAGCAAAAGGTGGCTCACCAAACCCGGAGTCCATGAACCCAAAAAATGAACTATACCCCCATGCTGTTGTCACACCACATCGAAGGCTGATGAACGGAAAGGACTTCGACATTCACAGATTAGTTCACTAACACCAGTTAAACAAGGTTCACATGTTTGATTCTTGTTTAAAAGGTTCTCAAAAAATTTAGGCAGCAAGGTTTCCTGTTTCACGTTTAAACAAAACCACAACAAGACAAACACAAGCGACATCCACAAAGCGCACGTTCAAAAGTTTGATCTTTGCCCACTATGTTTTTGTTTGACAAAAACATTTTTCCTTTGGCCAAATAAGGTCACGATCTTTGTACCAAAGAGTAGTAACGTCTTTCTCTGTCTTTCTCTGTCTTTCTCTGTCTTTCTCTGTCTTTCTCTGTCTTTGTTTTACAGGCAGAATGCATTGTAAGCCGAAAAACCCTATTGACCCGCGTGTGTGTTTTTTCGTCCTTCCACCTTTGCGCGCTTTGTCCACGCGACGCGACTCCCTCTTCTCTTCCCTCCATGTGCGGGATTTCAGGGTCGTATAGGTGTGACCTGGAAGGGTCGTAGGTGGAGGTTGCGGGTCGTAGGCACACTCCCTACAACGGGATTTGAGGGTCGTAGGTGTGACCTGGAAGGGTCGTAGGTGGAGGTTTGAGGGTCTTTTTTTCCGTCCAACGCCTCTTGGCTTTCGCCAGGTCGTTTAACACGTTCAATTGCATGTTGCAAGAAGAATGAATTGACTAATTAAAGCATTGACGTAGGCAATTGAAAAAAGCCTCAAAAGTTGAACTGGCATGGACCGATACATAGTCCCAACAGCCGTCACAAGCAAAGCAACCACAAACAAACAACAAACAAACAAAAAACCCACACAAACAAAAAACAAACACAAACAAGCCACCAAAACAAAAAAAAACAACAGCACAAGGAGAGAGTGTGATTGGCTGGCCAGTTCAGCAACGTCGAGCAATGAACGAAGAGGTGATAGCATTGTATCAACCCTATCTGGGTATGGCGGTAAACAAACACAAACACCGAAACAAAGAAAAGCCATCACAAACATCGCCACACCGGGGTAAAGCAACACAGCACTATGCGGAAACCAGGGCTCCCCCCAGCCAGGAGCCCCGAGATCACATAGAGCAAGCCGTACAGGCATGACAACTCACTGAAAAGCACTTCGTTGTCAGCAACGACAATGTCGTGTGGCAACTGAAGTGGTGAAACGAGTGTGAAACATGTGGTGAAAAGGACCTACGGTGAGAAGTGATGCTAAACAACTACGCGCTCAGGGCACTCTCAGAGTCCGCTCAGAAGTTCTTTTCCAATCATCCTTTTCTTTGATTGGCACCAAAGTGTTCATCGAATGGGTTGTCAATGGGTTGTTATCGAATGGCACCAAAGTGTTCATCTTCTGGATGGTCAGTAAGGATGATCTTGCGACATAAAATGGTCGGCATAGGTTCTGGAAGGGCAGCTGGTGTCAGCTGTACGGAGGTCTTCGGTGGGAACTGGCTGCACCCTTGTTTGCATAAACTGCAGCTGCTGCTCAATCATTGCACGTTCTACTGTGTTCGCTCTGGCTTCAACCCGGATACGAAGGCTGTTGAGGCATTGACAAGCTGTGCGCAGCGTTCGTAGGTCATGTCCGCTGAAGATTCCAGTTAAAATTTCTGTTCTCTGCAATGAAGCAGATGTTTGTTCGAGCATCAGTTGTGCTTGGGAAACGTTTCGAACATAATCTTGCAGTAGAAGGAGGTTGCGTGCTTCACTGTGACTCGTTGATGCCGGCGGCGGCTGCGTTGATTCATCCATCAGATCATGTTCCATGTGTCTTGGGGCCGTGTTCGGCATGTCAGTTTGCTGGTTTGAAGTGTAGGCAAACGGCAACGGGTTCCATGGCTTGATGTGCTTTGACATCGTCCTATGCTCGAGCTAGTACCTCCCTACAGCTTACTCCCCACCCCCCACCCTTCCTAGTTTCAACTCCTCACAACCCAGTCCCTTATGTAGTTAAATGCTATTAAAGCACCTTATAACTTACTCCAAATGCAATGTTGGCCAGGAGCGTACAAACCAGCCATGGGTATCCCATGTTGGTCAGTTGATCAAAACAGGAAGGCAAGTGGAGGATGGGCTTGGGCGGAATGTGTAACCCTCAGCCGTGGGTATCCCACGTTGACGGCAGTACATATGTATAGTATAGTAAGTACTTATTGAAATTGCGTTTAAGACAGTGTGCGATTCGTCGTTACAGTGCGGCTGCTTTGGCCTTCTGATGATACAGTGGCACATTCTGAAGGGGGCAAGTCGTCACGTACATCAGGGTGGAGCATACTTTGTATGATCTTCGAGATTTCTAGCATAAAAGCATCGGGGTCATCTACTAACGCCTGGGCTTCTGCGAGTGGCTTATCAAGTACCAATGGCAATGAGCATTTCTCCTCCATCTTTCTTGATGAGAGCCGTTTTGCCTTCTTGCATTCTGTTCAAGATTGCCACAGCTTTGTCGCACATGTTCCGTTCCCATTCTTCAACTGCCCTTTGGGCTAGCGCCCTTGTTTGCGCCATCGTTGGGGTGCCGAGTGCCTTGAGGAAGGGGCTGTCAGCCATCTTTGGCGTCGGCAGGGAAGCTACAGCTGAGCGACTCGGCGTAGGTCGCTGTCCCGTATCTCATTTGACCGTGACGTCTTTTGTGCAATGTCTGCTTCCGAATTCGTCTAACAGCTCCATCTATGTGCAGGGGCCATCCAACTGGCATATGCGACTCTTCGAGGAGTCCATCCCCATTTTGTTCAATCACAGTGCCCAGCATCGGAACGTCAATCGAGGCCTTAAGGCTGACGCGCGGTCGGTTGCAGTGCCATGTTTCTGGAGAAAGTAATCGTTTTGCAAGTTCTGTCACGGGAAAAACAGCTGGTCAGATGATCCGTGCTTCCTCTTTGATCATGAGCCGTAGGCCATGCATGGGTTCGGGTGTGGGCCCTTGCACTGAACCTGGTGGAGGTTCCCTGGTAGCTGTTGTGTCCTCGAACCAGGTGGGACAAATAGATTTGATCCCTGTCGCGCTTCCGGAGTCTGTGTTTTTGATACTTTCACGGCGGAGGCTGTGGTACATGGGAGGAACCATCCATGCAGGGAAAGACGACAATATATTGGACTTATTTCTCCAGAAAACCAGGATCAATCGAGATTGACTCACATTGGTGGTGGAAGTTTCGATGTTGAATTTCCGTCCATATAATTATCTATTGAATTATATGGCGTATCGACTTGGAGCAAGGTAAACGTATCCATGTAAGTATATTGCTTACACAAACTAACCTTACTACAAATCAAAAACGCCGCAGTCAACGCGAAAGCACCACAGTCGGACTTATTATTATTTCCTTTTTGATTCCAGTAATTGCACTGTCGGGGGTCAACCCAAGGCCGGTCATGATTCCAGCTGAGCAAGATTCTGGTGCATTGGATGGGCCATGATTCCATCACTGATAAACATTGACACAAAGTGGCTTGATGCTAAGTGTCAGAGCACCCGATAATTCCCCAATTTTTGGGTGGGAGTGAACAACGGGGTGGGTGACAAAAATTGCCCTTATTTAAAAGGGACACCCTCCCTCCCACCACTTGATTGGGAACAGCCACACATTTCCATCTATGATGTGACATATGACAGATGTGGATTGTTTCACTGAAATTGTTGAAAACCACATCGAGTGTATTGAAAATGGATTTTGAAATAAAACGCCAACTTGTTTGCGTCACCAAAGTTTGGTTGTATGTTTCAACCTGACCATGTTTGTTTACCACCAAACCAAGAGAGTTTAAGTTGATCCTTATTTGTGAGATTTCACAAATTTTTGTTTGGAGAAATAAGGCTTTCATCTTTTTTCAAAAGAGTGACATCTTATTTCTCCAGAAAACCAGGATCAATCGAGATTGACTCACATTGGTGGTGGAAGTTTCGATGTTGAATTTCCGTCCATATAATTACCTATTGAATTATATGGCGTATCGACTTGGAGCAAGGTAAACGTATCCATGTAAGTATATTGCTTACACAAACTAACCTTACTACAAATCAAAAACGCCGCAGTCAACGCGAAAGCACCACAGTCGGACTTATTATTATTTCCTTTTTGATTCCAGTAATTGCACTGTCGGGGGTCAATCCAAGGCCGGTCATGATTCCAGCTGAGCAAGATTCTGGTGCATTGGATGGGCCATGATTCCATCACTGATAAACGTTGACACAAAGTGGCTTGATGCTAAGTGTCAGAGCACCCGATAATTCCCCACTGTGACAAGTGCTCTGGCAGGACCAATTCGACTTTGTTTGCTTGTCTAAGCCAAGGTGCTTCGAAGTTCATCCTTGAAGGTTCATCCGAAGGGTTGCTGCGGCTTGCAACCCTCGCGAACCACGGAGAAAAACGGCATTTGTATTCAAATTCAACATACTCAGCAACTAAGGCTGCTCCAAGGTCGGTCGAGGCATGGGCTCTCACGAAAGCAGACCTTGCTGCACCGTTGTCCAAATAATGGACTACAAGTTTGCCCAATATATGCTTCGACCATATCTTGACCGAGACCAACAAAGGGAAAATCTCCAGCTCGTAGATAGGATGGCTCGATTTCGCCAAGAATTCTTCAAGCAGGGGCTGTGGGAGGTAAGCACCAAAGAAGGAAACTACTTGCCCATTTGGATTCACCAAGACTCCGCCTATCGAAGCCGGCTGCGCGTTGGTGGGCTCAAAAGCACCGTCCGTAAAAATTATCCACGTCTCATTGATATCACGATTGATCGAAACTTGCCTGCTCGACAATAGGTGTTTCTTCAATGCTTCCAATGCCGATATAAGCTGACTGTCCACGCGGATTGACGGACCCGGCTTTCTTGAGTACCACGACAGGACCTTGGTGGCTGCAGTCAATCTCCTCCCAAAAACGAAGGTCCGAAACCAGACTATCCTGCCATGCAATCTTTCAAGGGTCTTGGTTCCCACGAAGTTC